AATTACTTGGCTTAAAAGATGATGTCCCAGAAGAAGAAACTCCTGTTGCGAATGAATAAGTTTTTTTTGTTGACATACATATCTATTTAGTAAAAATATATTGATGCTAATTAGTAAGATATATATTTATTTTGGATTTTAAGGGTCAAATTTTTTTGTAACCAATCTAGTTAATTCATTAATTATCCGAATTTCACCTTCTAGTTTGTCCAAAGAATTAGACATAAAAATAAAAAAAATTCGATTAAATATTTTGTTTTTATTTTATACTCTGATTAAATAATAAATTACAAGAGATTTGAATATAAAATTTAGTTTACGATTCGGGTTTAACAAAAACATCGCAGATATCAAATGGTAATCTAAATAATAAATTTTTTTTTTTTTTTAAAAAAAAAAAAAAAAAAAAAATTTAACCCATGGATCCAAACACATGATTATGTCTACAAATACTTGGCCCGTGTTCTTCGTATTCTGCTTTTGTGTGACAATACTTATAGAATTCAGGCTATCATGAAAAAAAAAATGCATAATAAATTTAATTGTTTGATTATTATTAATACAAAGATTTAAAAACATACCGTTGATCCTAGTAAAGAACCACCAAACCAGACCGCATAACGTTGTTTCTTGTGCGATATGACATTTACTTCTATAGGTGTGGACTTCAATGTACCACCACTTAATGTTTCGCTTTTCTTAACACGAGCATCAACCGTACGTTTTATATCTCTTTGAAGACGTTTACCAAAATCTTTAAACATGGTAGAGCCACCTGAAAGTACAATATTCTATAATAACGAAAAGAAAAATTTACTTAGATAGATAGAACTTTTAGTATATGGGGGAAATTTTGAAATACGAACCTTGTATAAACCACGTCTAACATCGATGGGACAACTTTGAATAACATTATCAACAACTTCAGGAATTGGTGTCAAGAAATCAGATGATGCTATTTCCGGATTGAAAAATATTTCAGGTCCCAGGAAACGTTCAAAACCAACATCAACCTCATAGGGCTATAAAAAATTTGTAAGAATATAAGAATATATGGAACGATATGAAATATTATCTGAAAAGATCATAAACAAACCTGGCCAGTCACACTATGTATTCCTTGATATTTTTCGAAATGTTTATCTCCTTCCTGATCATATTTTTTGAATTCCTTAACAATATCTGGACATACATATGAAAATTGTTCCTTTATACGTTCAGCTACTTTCAAAGAATCTTCTGGAGGAATTGAAGTTTCATTTCGATCACGAAGAAGTTGTTGAACAAAATATGTAATATCACGACCAGCAATTGGGATATGTTTAATAGACGATCCAACAACATACCCTTCGGCCTTAAAAATAATGTTGGACTTAGTAAATAATTAAATTGTATACGAACGCAAAAATAAGCTTACCACAGGAATTACGTGAGTAACACCATCACCACTGTCAATAACTGTTCCGGTTAAAACTTGACCGGAAACTTTGTTAGAAGTCCAACTGGCAGCCAAAGCTAGTACAGCTTGTACAGCAATATATAGCCCTTGAATATTGAATGATTCGAACATGATTTCAGCAGTCTGTTCACGATTTTCTGGAGCGTTAAGTGGAGGTTCTGTCTATACAATTTCAATACAGATTATTAATAAATAAAATAGTTCTTAAAATTTCACGTCGATTCACTTACCAAGAGGAAATAATGATCTTCCGGTTCACACCTTAAATATTTGAAAATGCTCTGTTCCCAAAATCGTTCCATTTGATCCCAATTATCAATTTGACCGTGACGAATAGGATAATGCAAACCATAAGTTTTAGAATTCGCAAGAGCTTCGTATCCAATGAAAAAATCTAAATCCTCGATACCACGTTTAGAGGCTATGTTCCCCGTAACATTTGAAGGCTTTGAAGGAAGAGCAGGGCCGGAAGTGCCTCCCCCTGCAGAATCACGCGTTGCAATAACTGTAGGAAATACAAAGGATGGTATATTGTTGCCCGCGAAACCTAATTTTGTGTATCTGTTTTAAAATGTTCATTTGGTTAGATTTAGGGATAAATAAAAAATAAAAATATATTTTACTCAATACTAACCCAGTCCCATTGTCCATAATTACTGGCGGAAGTCTCGACATGTTTGCTATAACTGATAATTTTAAAATTATATAATGAATTACCCGACCAAAGAAGTACTCGGTTCGTTAAAACGGATCAAAAAAAAATTCAGGTATAGATTTTGTGACTGACAAGTGTAACAAGTAACAACGGTGCAGATCATCGGATTAAAAGGCTAGCAGAATTGATTTTGCATTGAAATTTAAGTTTCGTGTCATTAAAGTCAAATAATGCAAAATATTGAGGATGGATTTTACGACGCATTTAATTATTTTAAAAAACGGTTACCAACTAAACTTTCGCAGCCTAAAATAGCTATTATATGTGGTTCTGGACTTGGAGGTTTGGCTGAAACTATTGATGAGACAGTGTGCAAAAAGGTTGAGTTTAAATATGAAGAGATACCCGGTTTTGTTAGTAGTACAGGTTAGAAGAATCAGCAGAATTTTTTTGAAGAACGCGAACTATTGAATACACGGTTTAAAATGTCCTAATTATAAATTCTTCATAGTGCAAGGTCATGTAGGGAAACTAGTATTTGGTTTACTTGGAAAGAATCAAACTCCAACTGTTTGCATGGTTGGAAGATATCATTTCTATGAAGGATACTCTCTAAAACAAGTCACATTACCCGTTCGGATTTTTAAACTTTTAGGTGTTGAAGTTTTAATTGGTAAATGATGGATAGATGGATGTTACAAATCTTGTTATAAATTATTTTTTTTATTGACGAAATTATTTTCTCTTTAATTTAACAGTTACCAACGCGTCTGGTGCGCTCAATAAAGACTTTCGGGTTGGGAATGTGGCAGTACTTACTGATCATATATCTCTTCCTGGTCTAGCGGGTAATAATCCATTATTCGGGCCAAATCTTAACGAGTTTGGACCGCGTTTTCCACCCATGAGAGACGTGTATGATTATGACCTTCGGGTTCTAGCTTTTAAAGCAGGATCTTCTCTTAATTTTGGCGCGGGAGCTATGAAGGAAGCTGTATATTGTTTTGTCGGTGGACCTTCGTACGAGACCAAAGCTGAAGCTCGATTTCTGAGAACGATCGGTGGAGATATTGTTGGAATGTCTACTGTACCCGAAGTGATCGTAGCGAAGCATAGTGGGCTTCGTGTATTGGGACTTAGTCTCGTAACAAACATGGTTGCGTTGAGAAAGGGTAAAAGTGCAGACCCTTCATCGACTGTTGATGAAGAACCTGAAGAACCAGCACCAAAGCATGAGGAAGTATTAGAAGTTAGTAAGGCTAAAGCTCGCGATATGCAGGACTTGGTCAGGACTATTGTCGAATTAATTTAATAAATCATAAATGTACTATCAATGTTTTCTCGTAGTCTAATTACTGATATAGAACCGAGGTTTCAGAAAATTGAATAGAAAATATTAATTGGTTAATGTATTACAAATAGTAAAGTTTGTTTTTTCTTTAATAGAAATTAGAAAGTTTAAATAATTTATTAATTATCTTATTAATTCTTTTTTAATTTTATACAACGAACCATCTCGATCACGAAGAATAACATTTTGATCTTTTCCTATGGTTTTAAATTTAAATTGAAATCTTTGATTTGTTTCTCTTTCGTCACGACCAACTAAAGTTATCATTTGTTTATCTTTTGTTGAATTTTCATCTAAGCTAAAGAATTCTTCCTTAGATTCTTTTTCCCGTATTTTGGCTAAAGTTGGACGACGTAATAATTTAGCCGCATCCTAGATCATAAATATATCCGTATATGTTAAATGATTTAAATAAAATTATTATTTCATAAATATATATATGTATATATATAAGTTACCTTTTCCGAAAAATCTCGATTTTCATCAACTGTTTCAAAATTTGGTTTTCCAACATTGGGTAATGTATCCGTTAAAGGTTCAACACAAAAAGAACGTGCACCCAACATTTTTTCAATCTTTTCACATAAATTTTGTTGTAAAGTGATGCCCTTTTTTTTTTAAAAAAAAAAAAAAAGAAAAAAAGAAAAATACATAATAATTAATCATCAATTAATAAATATCCACTAAATTCATTAATGTATTATTATTATTCTCAGCATTATTTGGCATTATAACCATATTTAGTGTCTTCAAGACTAATCGATTTTTTTATTTCATCATTGTAATTATAAACCCGATAAAAACCCGATAATAGGAAATTATAAATAAACATACTTTTCCGACCATATCCTTTTCTAACTTTTTTAACTTTAAAATTGCTTCAACTCTTTTTAAAGAAATTCCATAATCAATACCAATTTTACGAGGAATTTGTCCTTCCTGTGTAAATTTCAACCATATTTCTTCTTTAGTACGATCATTTAATGGGGGTTGAGGTTTAAAGAGAGGATTCATAGGGAAAGGCTACTAAAACATTTGATAAAACATGTAAGAAATTATTTAAAAATATTTCAATGAAAGACGAAATAAACTTACTATGGATCCACCGAGATAGTTTGGTTTATCATAAATGTTAGTAAAATTCTTTCCTTCGTTAACTAGCCATAACTTATACTTAGGACGACGAATTCTTTTGGAAACTTTTGGAGCTTCTGGCTGGGGAGTATCAGCATTTTCTTTTTCTTCTATAGGTGGTGGTGGTGTTTCGTCCTTATTAAGTAATGCGGGTGTAGAGTGATAAGTTCTTTTATGATTATAACAAAGTGAACAAAGTAATTGTTTCCTGGTATATACAGAGGTGGAAATTGACGTTTGTTTTAAAGTAATCGATATCATGCGCATTTTTTTGTTTGTTTTAAAAAAAAAAAAAAAAAAACTAAGATCAGTAAAAAGATGGACGATAAACTAAGCCACCAGGATATTATTTGTTAAATAATTTTATAGGTTTACAAAAATTTAGTTCTGCAAGTTATAACCGGCAATAGCTCAGTTGGTAGAGCGGGAGACTGTAGTGTAACTGTCATCTCTAGGTCGCTAGTTCAAATCTGGCTTGCCGGACTTAAATTTTCTTTTTTTTTTTTGTAAAAGTAGGCCGCAGTAAGATCTGCAATCATGGAATGAGTAGCGTAAACGTCATGTGAATTCGAACACGGTTTAAATATAATATATAATTATATTTTTAATTAACCTTAAGAATAATCATAAAAACTTTATTTTAAAAAAGATAATAATACAATATTTAACATATACATAAATAAATAATAATAATAATAAAAATAAGTATACAGAAGAAATTTTACATCGTTATTATTGTAAAAGTTCAAAAGGTACCAGAATATTCTGTTTCAATATCATTGACATTAAGTCGATATTGATTTAAATTAATTTCATTTGCTTCCTTAATTTGTTCATAAAGAACAGAATTTTGTTGTTGTGCTTTAAGATATAAATCATTCAATAAACGTTCTAATTCTGTTGCTTTAGGTCGTTTTGAAGCGTCCGCATCCCAACATTGATTAATTATATCAATAATTAATTGAGGAATTTTATAATTTGATTTTGGTCTTAAACCTTGACAGATTTTTATATCTAAAAATTCTTCATCGGCCATATCATTATAAGGGGTCATTCCCGTACAGATTTCATGAGCAATAATTCCAAAACTATAAATATCACTTTCTTGAGTATATTCATCACCTCTTAAAACTTCAGGAGCCACATAAGGTAAAACTCGATGTATTTTTAGATTATTATCAGTTTGAGAAGATTTTACATTTGCAGGTTGACATAAACCTAAATCAGTAATAGTAACTTTATGTAAATGACTTAATATGTTACTACAATGAAGATTGTTGTGAATTAATCCAATTTGATGAATTGCCTTAAGACCACGTACAATACTTAATAAATTGTGTAACTTTTGAATCCAATTCAAAGAATTAAAATTATTATTTAAGTATTGTCTTAAAGTTCCATTTTCTGCATATTCCATTACCATCATAAAGTCTTTTGATCTTAAATTTTTAGTAATACCATAGCAATGAACTATATGAGCCGAACTATTCAATAAAACATGAGATTCAACCTAAAAATATAATAATAAATATTTTTAGTTATTAACCTTAACACAAATTATCATAATAAATTAATTAACTTACTTCTTTTAAGAGTTCAGCTGTCATATCTTGTGAATTATAAAAACATTTTAAAGCAACAGGACAAACTTGATTATTTTGATTTTTCCAAATTGCTTTATAAATAGAACCAAAACCTTCCTTAGATAGATTCTCAATATTAACAAAATTATCATAATCAATCCATTGTATAATTTCATCCCTATTTTTAGCTTTTAATTGTGTTTTTTGAATAAAAATATCAATATCAAGATTTCCACTAGTCCAATTTTTGAAATTTTCAATGAAATTTTTAGAATTACAAGAAAGGCACCAATCAACATCAGTATTAGGTTGCTTACATTCTTTACATAATCCACATTTCTTATAATAATCTTTTAAACTTTCGTTTAATATTAATTTATCGATTAACATTTCTTGTTCTTTGGTTAACTTTTGATGGTTAAAATCTTTTATTTGATCAATTAGATCACTATTGAGCTTAGTTTCTTCCATATTGAACGATGAATTTGGAACGTTAGTGTTATTGATTTATTGAAGGAGAAAAATAAAAAAAAAAAAAAAAAAAAAATTTTGAAGAATCTTGGTTTGATTTAAAAGAAATTAACCACGACCTTTTATAAAGTAAGTCTACACATCGCAAAAGTAATGATGTTCTCATAAAAAAAAACAAGATTAATAGCCACAGAGGCACAATGAGTACGCCTTTCATACATTTGGCGTATGCGAATATGCATGGTTTCTTCTTGAAGGAATTTTATAGTAAATAAGCCTCAATAGCCACATCATTTATAAAAAAAATGCCCATTATAAGTCAGGACTACAACACAAACATGTAAGGCGTAAACCTAAAAAATGTGGGATGTTGATCAAATTATTAAAAAATATGGAAACTAAACCATTTTAAGGAGAGAAAGAAAAAGAATATTCGATAATGAATGAAGTCATGACGATCATAACTTTCCAAGAACGCGGTAATTATCCGTAGTAGTTTTCAGAACATTAACCTTTTTTGATGCGAAAGAAAAAATGAAATTCTAAACATTTACTAATTTGGTCACATAAGAAAAAATTTCATTATTAAATGATTATTATTTTTAGAGTAATAAAGTAAAAATTGTGGCTTTCTAACAATGATAGTTTTGACCCTTAATATTTGTTAATGATGAGGCTTTCTAACAATGTTCAGGTATTAGATGATGACGAAAATTTCCTAATAAAGAAATACAAAGAATTTATAAAGGATTACAGAACATTCTTAAAGAATTATTAATAAGAGTAAGCCAACGTTTTGTTTTCTGAATTTCAATTAACAAGAAATGCTATGATCGAAGAAAATAAAGCGAGTTAGTTTGAATATGTTTGGCACGAATAACTATTATATTGGGTAAATTGATTCCTAATATATCTAGCTACCTTGATATCGAAGTGCCGATTGCCGAATAAGTAATTTATCCGGTATCATGTGATTATAAAATTGCTGGATACTTGGATTAGTTGGATATTTTATTTAAAAATCACGTGGTATCGATATTCAACGAATAATATTTGGCAGAATTAAAAAATGTACACTTTTTTCATTATTTCGCATTTTGAAAATCAGCCGGTTACTCTTATTAATAGTAAGGCTCTGTCATAGTGATTGGTAAAGAATTTGTACATATAAGTTTTTAAATGTGCCACCTCAAGTGAATTGGGTGTAAAATACAGAGGAAGTGAATTATAATTAATTAAGCGTATAAAAATAAATTTCAACTGGTTAGCCAACTTATCCAAATTAAAATTATCATTTAAATGTTGTCTTAAACTACAATTTTTTAATTTCATCACCATCATAAAATTATTTGTTTTTGGTTCTTTGGTAATACCAAAACAATGAACTACCAAACCATTTATAGATTTATTGTCCGAAGCACAGCGGAGGACCTTTTACTTCTACGCATAGTACCAGAGCAGAGCTGCAATGTTGTTCTGTACTATAGCCTGATCGACGAATGAAATTTCGTGTTACATATATACAAAATTAGCCACGTGCTATCCGATTTTGATTAGCTACGTATAAATTTTGTAATATCAGCAAAACTTTATAAAATAAAGCGATTATAATACATTATTTTAATAAAAAAGATAAAAAACAGATTACTTTACTTCATTAAAAAATATTATTTAATTATTCAAATTCCAACTTAGCAATACAAACTTTAACTGTTCTTTGCGATTTTAACATTTTTGATACCTGATACATTTTTTTAGTATTACAAATTTTTTTTTTTGTTTATTGGTGGTCATGTGATTAATGCTTCGGACGCTCAACGGTTCCCGTTACCTAGTTTACTATATTATTTGATTCCACCTCAAAAGAAAATTACAGCTAGTTTAGCATTTATTAAAGCTATTAATACCAAATATATAAAAAAATATCTTACTTCTTTCAAAAATTCAATTATAATATCTTGAGAATTATGTAAACATTTTCAGTTCCAACCTGTTTTTGCTAAATATTCTATATCTTCAAATTTATCATATTCAATCCATTCTATGATTTGAATTGTGCTTTTTGACTAAACTCATCAACGTCATGATTCCCACTTGTCCAATTTTTGAAATTTTATTGAAACCGTTTAAAATTACATGATTGACAATAATAATATAGACCAGCATTAGGCTGCCTACTATGTAGCCTACATTCTTCACATAAACCATATTTCTTATAATGTTCTTAAGTTAATTCCCGATGGTCAAAATCTTTTATTTGCTCAAATCATACCTGATTTTAATTTCTTTCATATAGATAACGAGTGAGAAATATCTGATATGTTATTAATTCGCATGTAAGGGAATGTTGGACGCACAGGAAGGAACTTTAATTTATGATCGATATGACAGTATATATTTCACTTGACTTAATTTTTCGTACATTCAAAAGAAAAGTTATTTATGACGAACCGCAAATGAATTTTGATTTAATAAATTGGGTTATAATAATTTTCGCCTCAGGTTTCCATTGTATCCGACGTGAAATTTAATGACGGCAGAAGACACGGCCCCTGAATGTGATGATTGGAACCTCGTCGTGATAATTGATGTGATATCTACTATGTTTACTAGTATCAAAATGGCCAAAGTGTACATGGTTACACTTATGTTACTTAGAAAAATTATTCCCAAAGTGTACGAAACAGTTATCTTAATGTGATATCTTCGTATTCAGGGGCCTTCAGAAGACATGGGTCTGGATGAAAAAAATTCCAGATATTGATCAATCGGACCCAGTTCACCAGCTGGAAATTATTAGCAACAAATTGTAGGATTTGTCAATTTTTTTAATGTCGGCCGAATGTCATAATGCCAGCAAATTTTCGTGTTTGTCCTTGTCAGATGTGATAACGCGACATGAAATTTGCTCTGGGCAATCATATCCATTTTTCTTTATTTTTCAAAAAAAAAAAAATAATGAACATTATACGTTTTGCTTTATCAAGAAATCAAGCACGTAGTATATGCATTGTATATGCATTGACTCACAGGACAAGCGAACATATCGCTTCGATTTACAAATTTATGGTAATCATAAAGGTTAAATAATTATTTTTTACATCGGTCAAAAATCTAATTTAATGTCGCCTACTTTGGTCACTGCGATACGTCTTCAACCTCCCGGGATTTGAGGTACCCGAGTTGAGGTTCAGAATCCGCATCGCATTTCCAATCTGGGGGCACAGCGTTTCCAATCGGGCTTAGGTTCAGCGGCTGCGTCACGTTTCCACCATGGCTGAGGTTCTGCAGCAGTCAAACATAAATAAAAAGCAAATATATAATTTACTCGTTAAACCGATCGCAAGGACGGAAATCAACATTAAGTATCTTGGCTTCATGATTGATTTTGTATGTTATATATAAATTTTAATTCGTTGCCTGTTATCT